AATTGATGAGATGGCTGAAAGCATTGAAGAATCGTCGTGCAATCATCTGCGGACTTATCAATTTCAATTCAGCTGGATGAGTCCACTTTACCAATCAATAAAGCATTGCTATTGTCATTCGTGAGATTTATCAAAGATGAAAAAAATATGTCAAGAACTATTGTTTTCTGCCAATTTGAAAACAGATACAGAAAGAGAAACCGTATTCAATACTGTGGCAAAGCTTTGTGATGAAAAAGAAATTCCTTTTAATAATATTTTGTCAGTTGCTACGGATGGCGCATAGCGTGCTTAAAAAATAAAATTCCTGGCGTGCTTGCTGTGCATTGCGTAATACATCACCAGCATTTGACTGCAAAAAATCTGAGTGAACGCCTCCATACAACACTGCAATATGTTACAGCAGTTAATAAAATCAGAAGTAACTTGTTGAATAACAGATTATTTAGTCAGCTTTGCATTGCTAATGATTAAGTTTACAACCGATTGCTGCTTCACACAGAAGTACGCTGGCTGTCAGAAGGTACTTGTTTGACTCGATTTTACAATCTGTTTGGATCTGGGATAGAGTTGCTGGGCAACAAAGACACGGAACTGCGCGACAACCTCATCTCATCAAAGAACGATATTGCGTACTTGACAGACCAGTATAAATTGTTTAATGATGCCAGTCTCCAACTTCAAGGCGAAGACTTAAATTTGGATTAAGACAAAAAATAGCGTTGCTGCTTTCGTTTCAGAACTTGCTATTATACAAAAATGGCAGGTGCGAATTCAACTGAATTCAGAACTGAATTTTCTAGAGGCATTTCACATTCAAAAAAATCTTTCTGTTCTAGTTAACGATCCTAATTCCAATCCATCTTTGCCTTCGGCCTTTAAAGAAATTATATTTTAATTCTGGTTTCACCAACAGATGGCGCCACTTGCTTATTCTTGTCCAGGCTTTCTTATCTTATCTAATCATTATTTCCTATCTTGTTCATTTGCGGTTTTGCGGCTGAGGATGGTGGTTCGCTAAAACCATCGAAATAGTCCTGTGAAAATTTTGAAAATATAACGCTGATTTTTGTTGTTTGACTTCTGAATTAGTATTTGTTCGGCGTGTTATTGTGTCTTAATTAAATTCACTCTGTTTGATGAGTATTTCTTGTGTACACAGTACATTTAAGAGTGAGCAGTTATTAAATGTGAAATTTACAACACTAAATGTATAAGAATGCAAATTAGTAAAGTTCACTTTGAATGAAAGTGAAATCTTCATAATTGCCTACATTTGTTCTAACTTCGCAATGAAAAGTTTCAGAAGCAATCGACGATGCTTTAATTATTTTGTACAGAAAATTGTGTGGCAGAATATTTTCAACCATCTACACACACACACAGACAGACCGTATTTTATTCTCGAGTGTCAAGACGTAGAACATCTTTTTACTCGACTTCCGTCATCCGATCCGAACAAGTATGGCTGAAGTAGCGCTCGAAGCGCGCTGTTTCCAGCTCATGAGGAGAGCCAGTAGGCACATGACGGTAGGAAGTCTGACGTAGTAGGAGTTAAGAGAATGAGGTGAGGCAGAAGGGGGGCGAGCAAGATGCCGCAAGCCTAGGAATTAGGGCAGACAAGAAGACGCGTCGCAGACGGAGCTGTGCAAGGTAAAGCAATAATGAGTTTTTATGATAAGATAGTGTTAAAGTATACTACATGACAGAACGAGTTTGTAATAATACAAACTCTCAAGATTTCTGTCAACCATCTTCCTTAAATCTTAAAGCACGTGAAAGGTCATGTGACATGACAGAAATAGTACTGAATGCTCATTGGTCCATCCTAAAAGCCACTCCCTCGGTGGCTATACACATGCGCACATGTGAAATATATCACCGTTTGCCGACCGCTGATCTAGATGGATGTTTTTGTTTCGAAAACGTTGGCAACATTGTCCTTTACGCCTATTGTTTACATTAGTTTTTGCGCGAATTTGAACGTTTCAGATATGGAAAAAATGTTTGTCCTAGAACATAAACTAGTATCTCAAACACATCATTATTCATTAAAAAGTGAAGCAATTGGAGCAATCTTAGAAGTAAAACGCTGAAGAATGTTTGGTTATTCTTAAATAAGTAATTTGTTAATTTTTTAGAACAACTGAATTTTGTGTATAATTTTTAAATACTGCAAGTCACCAGATTGCTTTTTAAACTCATCAGTCATAAAACCAAATAATATTATGTAATAATAGCCGATTTATCATTTAAAAATGGCATGAATTTTCTTAAAGTATTTTGGTTAGCGTTTAATATAATCAGAGTAGACCAACATTTTGTAGATGAAAGAATTATAAAAATGCTTTTAAATAATGGCTCCCTATTATAAATTTTAAGAATTAAAAATATTCTCCATTGCAAATTTATAAAACCATCATTGTCAACTATCCAGTCATGAACTAGCTTTTATGTGAATTAAAAATATTCATTGTTAATGCATGAAATGTTAAACTATATGAAGTTTTCAGCAATAAGTTTATTGTAAAATAATTTGTAACATATAAATACTTTTATACAAACTGTTTTATTTCTAAATAAAGATATTCTTTTCTCAAAAATACTTTTCATTACAGTAATGCTTCTTTTGATACATGAAAAAATATGGTACTCTTCTGTTATCAGGACCAGATTCAGAAATGTATATGTATATGCATGTATTTTTGCATATATGTGTATGTACATGCACATACATGCATGACATATGAAGAGTACCAAAAATATCAATATTAATTTAAAGGCAAATTTAAAATATCATAAATTTTTAGGTTTGGAAATTCAAATAAGGTATAGATTTTTTACTTTAGTTGTCAGATTTTTAATCATTTAAAAAACATTAGTATTCAAGAATATATTTTCATCAAAATAACATGCAGATTTAAACTGCACTCTTCCTCAGACTGAGTTGTTAAAATCATTTATAGAAAATGAAGAATGAAATAATGGTACTAACACAGTAACTGGTATCTAACATTTCTGTGGCACTGTTACGATAACTTTCTAAGTTTTATTGATTAAACTCTTGCACCTTAAAAATCATACACAAATATTAATGTGATGCAGTTTCTTCAAATTGGTTCTCTTTAATTTACATACCTTATCTATGTTACATTTCTGTACTATATTTTAAAGGATGGTATATAATTTCATTATTTCTGAATTAACACGCTCTTGATTTTTTGGTAATGCACTGCAATCTAGAAAAAATACCTATGCTAATTACAAAACTAACAAATATGGCTAACAAAAAGAAGGTAGTTATATATGGATGCAACAACAAGCCAGATATTTATTGGTGAATTATGTGAAAGAATATACTGGAACTTAATTATTGACATTTTACCATTTATGAAGATCATGGGTTAAGTACCAATATAATTTATATCTACAGTATCATAATCCAAACTATTATACATTAGTCTACCATAGGTAAGTTGAAACATGTAGCCTGTAACATGTTTGTAATGTTGAAACATGTAGCCTAGCCCAAACCATTCCATGTAGCCATTCCAGATGACAAAATGGCGGCGAAAAAAAAAATAGAGGGTTGCTGTAGCAGAGTTGGTCGCCAAAAAATCGCCAAGTTACCATAATCCAAAGATCAACCAGAGTTGACTTACCTCTTGTATTATCGCGAAGTTGTTGTTTCATTTATCACCAAGTTGTTGTATCATTTATGGTAACCTGAGTAGTTGAATGTTATGACATAATCGTTTGCATTATTCCGGGAAATTTTGAATCGTGAGATATTTTGCAAGGGCTTTTGTGGTGTATGTTGCTTAGGAAGTGCATTGCTTGTTTCATCAAATTTCTTTAGACAGTACAATAGCTGAATGTAGTAAGGTTAATTTGAAGTTTCTGTATGATTTGGAACGAAAGAGGAAAAGTGCATTAATTGACTGGTGTGTAAATGAAGGTTTACTTATAACCATTTTCCGGATAGTCCATAACTTCATAGTATATTTTTACTCTTATTTTTGTGAATTTTTGTGGCGACGCCGATATACGGATTCTAGTTCAGATAACTTTAAGACGTTTTTGGATGCTGTTAAGGAATTTTGTCTGTAACAGACTGATGACGAACGAATTTCTAAGTATGGTAAGTGAATATTTGTTTTGTGTAGTGCTTGAAATTTGTTTTGTGTAGTGCAGTTTTTTCCCTTTTTATGTTATTTTATTGTTTGGTTTAAAATGTAGTTTATTGATATTATATATTATTTGTTGCCCTCTACTGTAGAATTGGGTGCTTCTTTGACGTTTTAAGTGAAAATATATCGATGTATACATGGACAAACTCAGGGAGTGCATAAGGCATAGTTTGTGCATTCTTGGATGTTTTTTTAAGTGAAAATAGGTCGATGTGTACATGGATAAAGTCAAGAGAGTGTGCAATGTCATTTTTGTGCAATTCTGTATTTTTTTTTTTTTTTTTTTTAAGTGAAAGTAGGTCGATGTGTACATGGATACTGAGTTTGTGCAATTCTTTGTCTTGTTATTTTGGCTTTGTGTAGCCGCGATTTTTGGTGCAAAACTCGCCGCTATGCAAGCCAAAATAACAAGTCAAAGAATTTCCCAAACTCGGTATCCATGTACCGCCAAGTTTTGCCGAGGGGTACCCTAAAATATACTTTTACCTATTTTATTAATTAGAAATTTGCATTTGCAAAGTCTCTTTTTATTTTTAAATTTTGCTTTTCTGATAATGGAATACTATTTTCGAAATGTAGCTCATTGTACTGTGTCATGAACAGGTGTACAATAATAATAATAATAATAATATATATGTATATAATAGTTATTCTTTTCTGAAGCTTTATGTATTAGGTTTGCAGCCATCTAGTTAGATTCCATACCAACATTTATGTTTGGAATTAAGGTAGCACCCATTAACAGAAGGGTATTCTTCCCCTCCCCTAGTGCATATATTATTACTAAATAATTTATTTGCATTTTTCAAGGTTTATTACAACTTCCATCAAAAAAGTCTGTTTCAAGAAAAGCTAGAAAAGACGTTACTCGGAAGTTGCTTCCTAAAAGTATTGAAAAAATTGCCGGAGCAAAGAGAAGATCTGTAACCAAAGATATTCGAATGTCAGCATTTATATTAAGATCTACTTTCAAAAGACTGTTATTTGAGCTTTCTGTATGTACTTTTATATTTTTAATATAATTTAAACAAATATTTTATATCTTTGTTGTTGAATATAAAGAAATAGTATTTCAAAACCATATATGTTACTGGTATTTTTCTTTTGACCATTTTCAACGAAAAAAAAAAGGTACCAAGCAGTGGGATTTAGCACAACATTTTCAGGCTGATAATGATGCTCATGATATGCGAAAAGTAATTTTTGAGTCATACATAAGTGATATTTTAAATGATGTAATTGTCTCCTGAATAGCTGAATACAGTTAATTGCATATGGGGTTTGATTTGAAACAAATTTCATGATTTTTTCATATATTCATGCTTTCAAACTATCCAGACTAATGTTGTTCCATTAAATTCAATTTACAACAATTAGAGAATGATCGCATTTCGTCTCCTTCACATATTCAAATGAAATTCTTTTCACCAAAAAAATATAAGGTGTAATATTTGGATTTAAATTTTTAATTTTCAAAGAGACACAAAATTTCCTTCCTTTTTTAAGTAAAGAATGAATTAACTATGAAGGAATTTGATCTTCTATAAGAACTTTTCCTAGTAAAATTAGTTAATTATTTAAGTAACTATTTCAGTATAAGTGCTTTTTATTTTATTACTTTGATTGATTTTTAGATTGCTTATAACTTTTCTTGACAAGTTGGTGTGCCAATTAATTAGTTCAATAGTTGTAAATTTAAAATTTCATCCTTAATCAAAAAGTTTAATTTTATTGTATTAGATTATTTTTAGATCAAGAAAATCTGTTTCTTGTTAATTTGTATTTGTTTTATCAAGTGTTAAGTGAGAAGAATATATTTGGAATTTCTCAATAAATCCAAAATTATTGAACATAATTATGTCATCTATGTGCCTGGGGGTATTTGCAAAAAGTTTTAAATTAGTATTGTTCAGTGATTTCTGAAATTGATATTCTTTGGTAAATAAGTTACAAAGTTGGATGAGAAACTAATTCCCATAGGGATGCTATTGATTTGTTTAAAAATAAGTTTCATTAAGTTAGTGGTGAAAAAGTGTGCAATAGAGGAAATTCTTTTGTTAAAAGAATAAATATTTCAGGAAATAAATTTGGAAATAGTAGCAGACTATTGTAAATTATTGTATTCATTATACCTGAAACAGCTATTATTTTCATGAAGTTTTATGTACCATTAAGTTTGCCATGCTTAAGAGCACCCTGTTAACAGAAGAATACCAAATAATATAATAATATAACAGATGAATAGAAATCAAAGTCAATTGTCAAAAGAATTAGCAATCAATTGTCAAAAGAATTAGCCCTGCTCTACTTTATTTCATACAAAACCTTATTAAAACCTGATGAAAAGATATTTGTAATGAGATATATTCTAACATTATTATTGTTGTTTTGTTTCTTCTTTTAATTTCACAGCAAAATAATTCTCATTATAGGGTAGGCAGCAAGTTCAAGTTAGCTGTGATTCACAATGCTCTAAGTGTTTGGAAAACACCATATTTATAATTATTGAATATTTAATTTCATGTGTTTCTGATATCTGTCAAGCTGGGAAGATGCCTGAAATAACGCATTTAGAATTTTATGATGTTATCAATGACACATTTCCACATGCACTAATGCAGCACGCATTAGCTGAAGGTTCTCGTTACGTTAAAGAATATGCTGATGGTAATATGAATGTGCTTTATACTTGTATAAGTTGGTTCATAAGCGAGAGTAAATAAATTCTGTAATGCATACTGAATTTATCATTACTTAATTACGAAATCAGTATGCGTTCATTTATTCTTGCTTGTCACTTCTTCTTGGTTCTTAATTTGCTAGCATGTTTTAATTTGTCATTTTTTTTTTATTTAGGCTATATTATTATTGTTTTAATTAGAGTATGATTTGAAATAATTGTGTGATATGTTATCTGTCTGTAACATGAAATTCACTTTATGTGATCAGTGGTGCACAAGTGAGAAGCTCTGCTAAGTTCATGTATACTGTACTACATTTCTACAAATGAATATCATAATTTTTTTTATGCAAATGAAATTTCAGATGCACTGTTTAAAACCACTGATACAAAATACATGATTGTATTTTTCCTCAAAGAGAACTTTTTTCTGGAAATAAAAACTTCTGTACAGTACAAACATTCATTTTTATAAAATAGCTTTCACATGAAATGTTTGAATACACTCTGATGCAAAAAAAAATAATGCACCCAGAGAAAATAGAGCTACAACTGTGAAACACTGCATGCAAATGTAGTTTGGCGAGTTGTGTAAATGATTAAACTTACAGCACTACTCAGCATTGTGAAATGATGCGACGTGTGTTTGAAGAATGCACCTGGTAGAATGTAAAACAGCAGGTATGGCAAGTGACAAGCATTTACAACTGTGCTGATGGTTTGATACTTGAATACATAATGAAAGATGCCTTTAAGATATTACGAACAGTTCTCAAACTTTAAGAGGGGTCGCATCATAGGACTAAAAGAAGCCAGTTTGTTGAACAGGCGGATAGGCCAGCATATTGATCAAAGTGATATGGTTGTTATCCGTTGAGGGAACTAGTGGCTCAGTTAAAGGCATAGTCAAAAGCCACTATAGCACTATAATGGCTCGGGACATCCCCAGGCCACCAGTGTGCAAGATGATTGCACAATTATAAAAGTTGCCACGTCTGCACCAACAATTATGATATAATTGATTCAATTTGAAAATTTGCAGGGATCCCAGGATATCTAGTGATACGAATGACAGAAGACTAGGTGATGCTGGGCTCAGATCTCGACATCCATTAAGATGCTTGCCATTGACACTCCACCATAAGCAGTGTCTTCTTCCAGAATGCCGCTCTTGTTCAAGCCGGACAATGTCTGATTGGAGAAATGTGATGTTCTGCAGCGAATCACGCTTTTGTCTCAATCCTGATGACTGCCATATATATGTCTGGCTTATTGAGAGGTCAGCGATCCAGTGCACCATTTGTTACTGAATGGCACACAGGCAGAACACAGAGTGTGACAGTCTGGAGAAGATCAGCTGGGACAGCCATTCACTATTAGTCATTCTGTAAGGTACTTTGACTGTTCACATTTACGTTAACATTTTGCAACTAATCATAGTTCCAAATGCTAGTACCTCATCCAGGTTCTGTTTTTACCAGGACAACATACAGCACGACTTCCCCAGCAATGTCTTTGATGTGTTAATGTCCTTGACTGGCCTGCCATGTCTCCAGACCTGTCGAATATGATGGGCAGGCAAATTCAGCTGAGTACGAAACATCCCAACTCACTGACTAGTTGCTCCATTTATGGCACTTTCTACTGCAGAGGGACATTAGCATCTTTATAGACACCAAGCCCAATTGAATATCAGCTTCTATAGCTGCCAAGGGTGGCTTTACCATCTGCTGATTTTTATATTCTTTGTATTGCTAATCATAAATAAAACACTTTTTTGTCCCAGTTTTTGATCATTTGCTTACCTACTCGAGCACTAAGGCTATGTTACCGCCGAATTTAGTAGCTATGGCTCAATTGTTTCTGAGTGCATATATTTTGTTTGCTACAGGGTATATATTCTAGTATCATAAGTCTCATCACTAAACTTGGAACTTAGTATAGTTACTGTATAGAACTTAGTTTAGTTATAGTATTAGTATAGTTACCTTGTTTTGCTTTTAAAAACTCCTAACTTAGCAATTTTTCCTTTTCAAAGTGTGGATTTTTTCTGCCAAACAATGGAGTATCTGATCTGATCAACACATAATTTTTAGCTTGTTTAAAATTGAACCAAGCAAAGCCCCAAGAGCATGTATTCAGGTGTTGGTGATCGTTATGGTATAAATGGCAGAGCTACTAGTAAATGGATTAAAAAGACAAAAGAAATTAACAATTACTGATTTTTAAGCAGAGCATCTGTTAATATCAAGCAGACACACTATATGATGAGTATGAAAGATAAATGTGCCTTTGGTTAAATTATCTTAATTACTTGAAATTTTTGTGAGTATAACTTAATGAAAAGGTAAAAGATAATTTTCGTCTCCATAGCTGTTAACATTTCCAAAAAATAAAACAAAGGAATGTGATTTCTTTTTCAAGATAATATATGTATTTCTTTTAATTATCATCACTGATTATAGCTTTTTATAACTAGGGTAACAAATTTTAACAGCATAATTATATAAGCCTTTCTGTGAAGAATTATCAAGCTTTAAGTGAAATCATTTCATTAATTATGTACTGAATTAATTTTACCTGATTTTTTTCTAATGTTTATAAAAAAAATTTTCAGTTAAAATTTAGTAGTATACAAAGAAAAGTAGCTTTAAGAATATAAATTCTTTATCAAAGATCTAATTTTATTGAATAAAATAACTTAAAATGTTAAATTTTATAGCCTGTAACTGAGACTTCATCAACACACCATACTGTTAATCTGTAGCATTATATTTAAAATTTAATTTGTAAGTCTGTGACCTTTTATTGGATAAAAAATATAATAAAATATTATAAAGAAGAAAAGACATGTAATTCTAGTTTGTATTTAGCAAAAATAAGTGTAATGCTGCCTGTTTAATTAAATGAAGCAGTGTTTTTGTTATTTCATACAAAAGACAAGCAAATGTCAGCTGACTAACTAATGGAGATTAAACATAATTTTCATAAAAAAGTATGCTTGTTTATTTCAGTATATTTTCAGGTTTGCTGAATTTCGTACCTAAGAAACCTGTTCCGAAACAAGTCACCAAGACAATACCCTTTAAAAGCACAAGAAAGGTGTCCACTAGACAGAAACCTATAAAAGAAAAGCCTAAATTAAATAAAGTTCAAATGCCAACATTCATGTTGAGATCTACCTTTAAAGAGCTATTGCCTGAGTATAATGTAAGCATTTTTAGTGCATTTTGCAGCAGGTTACTTACATAAAAATATAACATTAAGAATATCTGTCAGACTTCTGGCACAATCCGACTTTGCACCCTGTAAATAAGGTATAATAAAAAACAAAGCAGTACCTGTAAATTCACCAACGATGGTCTGGTGTTCCATACACTTTTTTTTATCCCTGTCTCTGTATTGAGTATAAGTGTACAGCATTCAGACTTGACATATAAATTTAAATGTCAATAAAGCAAGTGACCAAAAATCAAATCTAAATCTGGTGTTCAAATCAAATCAAAATAATATGAGTGTGTGTGGTGTTAAATTTGCGATAATGCAGTTAGTAATCCATTGAAAATTATAGAAGTAACCCTCAAGTAAAACTTGTAGAAGAACGAACTGGTTTTGGTTTACAGTGATCATATTTTGTTATTTGAAATCTGCTACTTAACTATATAGCAAAGGTTTACAGTAATTGGTAGCAGGTCAAATAATTAAAACATTTAAGAACGTACCTACAAAAATATATTGTGAAGTGCCTATCCCAATTAATCTTGCTTACATGAATACTTTAATTATCTGCACATATTTTTCAAACAATAGTAGAAGTACTGTTTAACATGTTTGGGCCACTAAAAAAAAGATTGTATGAAATTATTACTTAAATAAATTCAGCAAATCTTTAGGTACCGGTTATCATTAGTCATGCAAATAAAATTGCAAATGTCTGTTGATCAAATAAAAACCTAAACTAAACAATTTCACAACTTTGCATAAATTTCAAATCTAAGACATTAGCTGGTTTTTTAAAAAAAAAAAAAAAATGTATTCAAATTTTTATAATATTTTTTCTTACAAAGGGGTTTACTTAAATTCTAAAATTAAATTTGAACTAATTATCACGACTTTTGAGGATAAAATTTCCAAATTACAAAATTATTGATGTTTTGCTTAGAAGGTGCTTGACCCCTCCAAAGGTACCAGTACCTGAAGAGATCTACATAGAAAAAAAACCTGGAATAGTAACTTGAAAGAACATAATCTGAAAAGATACAATAATATTCTGGTAAATAATGATTAGTAGAGAGCTGGAGGCTCATTTTCATCCAGAAGTGCATCTTATGGTGCCATCCTTGATCCAGTATTCTATTATTCAACATCTCTGACTCTAGAACCATTAAAAAAGTTGCAATTCACCTTTGGCTGCTCTGCTTCAAATGCCACTTCTCCAAGAATCTACTCACTTCAGTTTCTAGCAAACTCCAATGTGTCACCATCCTGTGCAGTGAAAAACAGTGGGGTCTGAGTTAGGGCTGCAAAAGGGTGTTCCAGCTTTGGCAAAAATTGCCTTCTCTTTCTTTTTTTTTTTTTTTTTTTTTTTTTTTTTAACACTTCTAATTTTATTGGATTCTTAGTTTAGAACAATCTGTTTAACTTCCCTCAAATAATTGTTTTAAGCTGCTTACTGTTAGTTATATCCATCTAACTCTATTGTATCTATTAATACACACTTTTTTGATGGTAAGATGCCATAACTTTGAAAATAAATCTACTGCTTCCTATTCTGTAGAAGGCAGATCCCAAATTTCGGTCTCTCTCTCTCTTTTTTTTTTTTTTCCAAGAAACAAAATACAGCAATGAATAGTTAATTTATATGCTTATTCTTAAAAACAAAATGTCACTTATTGAGAATCAGTTGGGTTTGCATTGGACAAAAGTGCAGATGCTATAAACATACAGTTACATTGCACTCATCTGTAACTGGTGCTAAATAACACTGCTTGGCGATTGTATCATGGCTGATAGAAATAATTCGTAAATAGTAAAATTAATCGCTGAATGGAGATGATTTCTCAAATATTAACTTTTAGCCACAAACCAGGTAATTTGTAGCAACTTTTAAATCTAGATGGAGAAAGAAAAAAAAAATATGGAAAATTTTGCACTTAAAATTGTAAAACACAGGTGAAAAAATTAATGTAAATGGAATTTTGAGAAAGAAATGTTAATTCTTTATGGCTATAAATGATTTTTTATTTATATGAAAAAAGCATGGATACAGATGCAGAATTTTTGTGCATCCAGTCTTTTTCGTCCCAAGAACAAAGTAAAGTGCCAGAAATTTAACTGCAAAAAAAATTATTTCGTGGAAAATATATGATAAGCAGCCTCACTGGCATCAAAACTTAACTCACATCATGACCAGCTGATCTGCATTGTGGCAAAAAACATACTGTACCTGAAATGAAATTTTCTTTTATAAAAATAATGATGTGATGTAATAAAGTCTTTACTTATACTTTCCTTGGCAGTGAAATGACTAGCTTTTTTATTTATTTTTTTGTAAAATTCATCACTTAAGAAAAATAATTTTGAAAGCTATTAGCTTATTTTGAACATAATGATAAATGACTGTAATTGTTTCATATTCCTGAAAAAGCAAATCAAACATTTGATCAGTGATCTAAATACGGCATTCTTGATAGCGATGAAAATATTAAATCTTAAGTATAATCTTATTTAATTAGCCAACGTAGTAATTAATTTAAGTGCTTAGTTAGTCAAGAAAGTAATCAGTTCTGGTGCAGATTTTCCTCACTAGAATCTGGATTCTTGGAAAACTGTGTGTCAGATTTTATATCCATCACCATGGGGGAAGAAAAAGGAGCTAAGAAAGCTTTCACTGTCTGTACTTACAAAAATTCTTTCTTAATAAAAAAAATAATTAGCTAAGCTTAATCCCTAGCTCCACATGTTAACTTTAGATTTAAACCATTAACCTCTGACTGCTCAATTTGTGGATCGAAATCGCTTCAAAAATTGTGTAATTTATTTGAGGAGGGGCATATTTGAAGTCTATACATATGTGCGAATATTGAAATATGTATTTTTCCCCCTGGAAAAGTTTTTTTTATATATATTTTTATCATGAGAAACTAAGCTGCCAGAAAAAAACAATTTCAGATGCTATCACAAAAAAAGTTTTTAATAAATTTCAATTGAAGTATAGTTAATTTCTATTTATTACATAATATAAAAAGTAAAATATATAAAACTTAAGAAAATATAATGCACTGAGGGAAAAATACCTTGGAAGGGTAGTTTAGTATGGATAGAGTTTGAAACAGGGTTCAAGGCTTTGCTATCTGAGGAGCAGCCAAAAAAATCTATATCACTATCAAAATTAAAATTACTTTAAAAATCTGATAAATCATCAGGAATATATACTCTGTCAAAAATGCGGCAAACATGGTGAAATTAGAGCGGTAGATACAAGTATCTTCAAATGCCGCAATTTAGTGGACGACTAGCAACATCTGTTGGTCAAAATCTAAATTAAGCTTCTAATACTGTGGATAATTAATTTCACTGGTTAAACGATGAAAAGGCAGATGTGCTGCTCAATAAAGGGAGGAAAACACATGCCCCAAAAAAATCACAAGATGAGCAGCCAGAGGATTAAGAAAATTCGATTTTTTCATTTTGCTCAATAATTCTTTTATGTAAATTTATTTCAACTTGCTGATATTATGGAGGTCTGAAATATGTTAATTTATAATAATCTGTTATTAAGTATTGAATATATTGTATGATCATGGTTCATGAATATATAAAATTAAGTTTTTTTTATTGATTAATAGTGTATCTTATTTATAGGACAGGAAGCAAAGTCATGTCATCTGTGACTCAAAGTCTTTGAAATATATGGAACACATTATATTTGCGATACTTGATGATATATGTTACCATGTTACTGAATCATGTCGAACTGGCTCAATGCAGAATATGGGACATTTAGAATTGAGTGAATTCATCAAAAACTCCTTTCCGAATGAGCTGAAGCTGCATGCAATAGCTGAGGGTTCTCGCTATGTTAAAGAATATGCTGATGGTAATTAAAAATTTATTTATTTCTTCCCTTTTTTAAAGTAACAACAGATATATTAATAATTTGTAGTCAGTAATGATTCTGCCTTGAATATTTCTTTTCCTGTTTTCTGATGTATTTTGCCTATATGTGTACTGTGAAGAGATTTGTCTAGGTACGGAAGTTTGCGAAAAATTAAGTGACACATTCTGTACTGCAAGCTATTTTAGTATGTCTAACTTTGTAGCCCTGTAACTTTATATTTGGGGCACCTTGAAGTTTAAAACTTATGTGAGAATAAAAAGAGTAACCATTTGGGTATAAGCAACAACATTTTGGCTTGAGTGTTAAAACCATGGTTGGTATTTTGCTATGATTCATTTAGAAATAAGGTAGGCATACCTTTTTAAAAATTTTTTTTATTATTTTCCTTTAATTTTTGTATGTAAAATTGAATGGATGTTAAATTATAATGAGAAATAAAACAAAAGATAGGTAACTTCTCCCTATTTTTTAAGCCCAAAGGACTATTAATTTCGTTTTGGCGCTTTGCATTGATTCACTATAAATGTCGGTTTGCTTTTCAAATTGTTGCCACCAAATGTTATCACCCTGTGTTTTATTCAAAAAAATTAAATAATGAAGAATCTGCGTAAATGTAGGTATGTTTCATGCATTATGATAAAACAACGGTACCTAGAGCCATCGCATTTTGAATAACATAATCCTCCACCAAATATGGGCATCTGAAGCCCTAGTTTGGAATTTGTTTTATTATCAATTTCATATTTTGTAGCATTTTAACAAATTTTTGATTAACAAACTCAAGGATTTCGAAACGAGCAATGGCAACACTCTACGGGGGGGGGAACCTTTTTATCTCTATTGCGCAGAACTGTGTATGGGAAATTTTAAAGATATGCTCATTTTGAAATTATTGTGTGACATTGCTATTGAACTGAATTTTATGGTGTAAGTGCAAACATGATATTTAATAAATAAATGTAACACACAGAATGTTAAAAAAAAGTCCCTTTGGGCATAATGCGAGCTTTCAATTTTTTTTATTCGTTTTATTTTATACGTTTTTATTTGAAATAGTTTGTTTGACTTTTTCATGTAAGTTAATCTTCTACAATATTTTTTAATGAATTGCAAATAAATTTTTTATTCTTTAAATATAATTTTCACCTTTACTTTTTATTTTTATTTTTTTATTTTAATTCTCTGAAAACCGAAGAATACCGAAGAAATATTTATATAATAAAAATCTCACAAAACCGAAGAAAATAATCTGGAAAAAAATAATCAAGAGCGTAATTAAAGCTTCAGAAGGGGAAAATATCTTTTAAAATTTCTAAAGCTTGCTCCCTGGCTGGTACCTCTTTCTAAAAAGTCCAATTGTTTTCAGTAACCATGTAAAATAATGTTCTAGTTAGTCAAAATCTGCATACGTGACACATTTTGAAAATTTTCGGATTGAGAATAAATGAATCTAGAAACAACAGGACTTATGCACCATATGGCTACCATGCAAAACGAGTCTGAATTTTAGCTTTTAAATTTAATCAATCTGCTATTAATAAACTTAGTGATTTAAAGCAATGAACATATTTCTGAACCGTTAATTTTTATGTTAATTCTTTAATAAGGCATATAATTAATATAAATTAAAATATATTTAATCTGCAATATGCTTAATTAATAACTTTTAGAACATTTGGTGTTTGCTTTATTAGAGACAGGTCGTACGGTCTTAAGAGTTTAAAAGTCCTTAAGTTTTTTTTAAATTGATTTTTTGTCCTTAAAGTCCTTAATTTCGGCCAAAATAGAAGAGGTCCTTAATTTAATCATTTGAAATTGTTTGTTTTATGATGTCATTTTGAGTGTGAATTAGCATTTTGGAGGAACATTTTTGGCGATTCGATGACAAATATGGTCTTTGAAAATATCTTTGAATAGGGAATGCATTAATGGATTATAATTATTCCTATCTAATATAAATGTGGAATAGAGTTTCTGAGCAGAAGTCAGACATAAGCATTTCAAAATTATTTCATTTTTTCTAATAAAGAACTCTTAAACAACTTTTCGCTTTTGGGGGGATTGAATTCTTTTATTAAATGCTGTAATTTGGCGACTTAACATTGGCGATTTTAAGATAAGTTTCTATAAAAAATTTTTTATTCCGAGATCGGGGAATTTTTCGATGATTTTTTTAAAACATGTAACATTGATAATTTCATTTAAAATGATGGTAATATATTGTATACATTTAAGAAATAACATTAAAATAAAGCAGTTTTATTTTTGCTCTCATATTATAAAGTTCCATTTGGCCACTTTTTATACAATATTTGAATCTGAAAATAAGCAAAGGTAATGCTATAAAGCACAATTTACGAAACAGTTCTTAGCAAAAGCCAAATAGCTAGTAATTAATAACAAATGTCGTTTTAATTTTTCATGGTAGAGTTTTCCCATGTAATTGTCTCAGAATATGCATCATTTTCTCTATAAAATTAATTTTACACTTTTCTTCCGATTTTTTTTCAAAATATTTTGGCTTTTTTGCTGTTATAGAATTGGTAGGGGTAATTTCCTTTAGGATTTAAACATTGCAAGCTTGGAAAGTTTAGAAAGATTTGAAGGCAAGATTCATAAACCCACGATTCTAGAAGATTCCAGAAAAAAGTGACAAAATGGAAAATGTTCGTGGTATTAACACGTAATTTCTTACTTTTTGGAAAACGTCTGGAGAACAATGACAAATAGTTGAATTTTACTTCTGATACTAGAATTTTTTCTTACATTTTATCTTCCTTTATTTCTCTACTTTTTACTAGACCAAGCATGGAAAATAAAAAAGCTTCTAATCTTATCATATGGACAGGCATTATAGAAAAGAAGTTTTTTATAATAAAGAAATTGTAACTGACAATTTAAAAAGTTTCTAATATATTGTTGCGTGGTACGGGTTCGTTATGAAATGATGCACAAGTCCGTGAAAAGAACAAAAATTTTATTATCACAACACAAAAATGCTAAATTTCTCAAATTATCATGCAGTATTACAATATCTCACAGTAGTTATCTTTTAATACTCAAATGTCCAATAGAACGGTCATTCAAAACAGCTAAAACGCTAATCCGCGAATTCGCTACAATCAACAAGAGCAGTTTTCTAAACAACAAACAAGCAACTACTACAAACTGAGATGTTTTCCTCCTTTATAAGATTTAAATCACGCCTAGAATTTTCCAGCACTTTCTCAAAATCAAAAGAGATATTATTATTTAAGCCGCGCTTGTATTTTTAATTTTTCGGCTTAGCTTTCTTTTAAGTTCGTCACGGCTGCACTGCGCGAAAAAAACCATTTATTTAATTGAACTAACATAGCTTTTTTAAATCCAAATCGTAACACTGCCCTTCCCAGACTGCACGTCCCGGGCAGTACAA